TTCCGTATATTCACGGTGAATGTGTTAATTTTTCTTTCATGCAAACCTGGTCTGAACAAAAATGAACAATAGGTACAAAGGATTTTGAAACCGTTTCAGCGTTCATGTTATTCAAGCATTGCAACATGATTGTAAACGAACCCGCATGAAACGTTTAGTGAAACTGACGGCATACACTGTTAGAATAGCTAATATACCACGTACGTGATGTTCCCGAAATTTAGTTGTAAATTGTATCCTACTTTATTTGTTGGTACTGTCCAATTAGTGTCTGATTAGAATTATAAACGACGATAGGATCGTTTCCTTTTGCATTGTACTTACAAAAATTGGTGTCTAATAGATGCACAAAAGTGTACACATTTTATACAATCCTAGTAGAGTCCGTGCTACGAGCTTTTCTAGAGTCAGGCAATAAAGAAGACGATTCCGAAATTTTCTTTGTCTCGACGATCGAACTAAGATCCTATCATGTTTATTACTGATCAATGAGACAGTTCACCTCAATCCATTACGAATTCTCAATACATACAAAAAGTCCTACACAATTTGGGTTCGTACAAAGTTCCCAACAACAACTGCACCAACAGTTTTTACCAATTCATATCGCAATAAACAATTCAAAAATACAAAAATATGAAGGACTGCAACATTTCATCAAAATTCTGTCAGTTTTTGTCGCCAGTGTCACCTCCACCTGTCTTAAGGCCCCTTCACAACGGCCGTTACGAACGCTGCGATTAGCATACTTTGGCCTCAAAAAAAGATTATTACTCGCCCCCAATACTGAAGTTAATATTCAATACGTTTACACCAAATAATAATTACAGCAGTTCGTCTGCCGAATGCATTAAAGGGTCGTTTTCCTTGTATATATTATAATATTAATGTGCGAGGAGGGAGCGGGCAGGTGCATCCAACGTTATTAAGTTACTGATACTCAATACCCACACACTTTGTTTATTATTATGAGCCGCGTACGTAAATAACATACATATTATAATATGTAATAACTTACGTATGTTCTACGGTGCGTTTGTCGTTTGGTGTCGACGCTCGGCGGCTATTTGAAATAGGTATTTTATTCGTAATGTCGCCTCCGACTCACTGTTGAATTCTGTCCGAGAGTTAATCGTTTCTGTTTAATTTAAATGATCTTTGATCTGTTATCTAATAGGAGTAGTTCCAGGTACTGAATGTTCTGATTCCAACGTGCCGTGGAACTGGTTCCGTCATCGTTTGTTACACACTTTAATGATTGACTTTACAATATTTTACATTTTTATGTTTAGTGTTTTTAAGTAACTGTAAAGTGATATCAAAAGTTAAATCTCATGTTTCTAGTATCCATCGTGATGACACTTTCTTTTTAATTGGGACTTTAAGATTTTGCGATGGCCAAACTGACGAGACGAAACGAATGCAATTTTAAGTAGCATATAATAAAAACTTTTTGCAGCTTAAGTGCAATTTGTTTAACTTTTTCGAAATAGTTTCAGCTTTCTTGATGACTATGTAAACGTTTTGCTAATATAAAAGTTATACAATAAACTCTATACTTATTAGATTACTATCGTTTAATCAAAATATTGCTTGTAATAGTGCTTGAAGCAAGAAAATGAGCAGATGAAGTGAAACCATAAAGATTAATAGCTAATTTAGCTACTAGGAAATTGCCCAGTAAAATAATGAAGTAGTTATAAGTAGCCATCTGCAATTTTATTCAGCAGGAACGTCAGTAAAAATTGCATGCCTAATTTTCTCCAGTTTATTAAATGAGTCAACTTGAACCTAAAATACCTAAGTAATAAAACCATTATGCTACTGTACAATGTAACACCCACTTTTCACTATTTATGTTATGAGTCCCATGTAATAGTGAGCCCTATTGCCATATACCGGGCACAATTCCAGACTCCCTGCTACTACTAAGATTTTTTTTAAAACCCAGTAATACTTTTATAATATTCATAATGTGTGCCTCTGCCTACCCCTTCGGGGATAAAAGATATTATGTTATGTTATAAAACCATTATATCGACAGAACGACAAACTATATATACCAATATTGTCCCAACTCTCTTATAAGAAAAGAACAAAGCGTCCACACTAACCCTTCATACCGGTCACTCCGATAATAAAAATCACTTTGCGTACTAATTCAAGTTCGATGAAGCGACATAAAGAATAGCCAGTACAAAATTGAAAAGCAAATCAAACGCGTCATGACACGACGCGGGGTCACTGAGATAACGCCGTCTAAGTCCCAGATTGATTCCCGGATCAGCCAGATAGTCGCAAGCACTCGAGTGTGTACGATCCCTTACTCACGACCCGGTGACTATGAGGCGTCCCTAAGGATTTGTGGAGTTACGTTTACTTCTTTAAATTTAGCCTTTTATGTTTATGTCGCTTCAATACTTACATTGTTTTGTCTTGTTGCCTGGTGTGATGTGAAACGTGTACTTGCGATGCTGTGACTGCTTTGTTACTGGTATGTAGGAGTTTATTTGTAGACTGTAGTTAGTTCACTATACAACTGAGATTAAAACAGTGTCAATTGCTTTTACAATACCCATAGCTTATGTGTATAATTTTTTCAAAAACTTTTGCATGAAAAGACTAATGACTCTTTATGAAGCGAAAGAGGTATGTAAGAATCGTAGCAATTGGCGTTTCATAGTCTTTGCCGGGCAGGGCCAGGCCCATGCATATGTATGTATGTGCATGAACCTGTCACATTACTTGCTAATCTTCTAATAGTCATGTAGTAGCTAGAACCACAGCTTAAGTAACTATAAAACTATTATTCTCTCTGTAAAACAAGCGAAATGATTTATCCACTTTACTTAAAAATTCGAGTATCTTTATCTCCTTTCTAATCTCTATTCTATCTCTTTCTATTTAAACCTTGTCATTTTACATCAGAATCTATAAATAAATAACAATCGAAGCGATCTGCCTGCGAACCCTAATAACGAAACCAATTACTTCCATCGTGATAGTTTGGGAGTTGCGTACCTATTGTCAAAAGCTTTTTCAGACTGTTACTCCATGCGTCTTCCTCATTCTGTGGAAACCAGAAATGATACAATGGGCCATTTCAATTTTATCTCACAGGCTCTTGCAATTTGTCTAAAATGAATTGTGTTCGCGTTTGCAACCTATTTCGTTTATGTCGCTCCTTAGTTGTGTGAATGTGAGCCTGCTTTTAATTACGATTAATTACTCTATTTTAAAACGCGTTTTGAGGTACCTACGCATGTTTTGTTAATGGTTCTTGCAAAAATTTTAAGTGTTTTAAGTGTTGCTATTCGAGTATTGTCGGTATTTTTAAGTTCAGTTCTGTTCGCAGTGTGGTCAACTAAATAAGTTAATAGAACCATATAAAAGTATATTTTATAAATATAGGTACTTGTAACTAATTAAGGTTTGTCTTTCAAACTTCTCTTCTCTTCCAACTCTTTGCCTAGGATGCAAGTATGATTAGCAGTGGTTTATAATGCTAGTCACAAATATGATAGAGATATATCCTGCCTTATCTTCAACCAAGTAAAATTGTAGGATAGGTATACTTTTCTTTTCACTTCCATATTTCGCCTCCCCTGCTGACTTTATTGAAGTTTACAGCTGACCACGTCCGTATTCGACAATTACACGATAAATGTCGTGTCAGTGAATAAAATTAAACAAATAAATCGTACAGTGCGAGGTGTGCGAACATACCGTCGTACGTTAACGCTCGTAATTTTGCCAAGTGCGAAGTTCCGTCACATCGGGGGGTACGTCGCATACCGCTTTAGGTGTAAGAATATTCGTCCAAGTGTCGGCTCTCGAATATTTCACGGTGTTGCCGTGTGCAATAAATCCCAGGGAGTGATGCCGCGGTTTTTGCCTGGCGACATTTTTTCCCGCGCTAGCGGTGCATTTATCACCACCGTGGACTGGCCGCGCCGGCCCGGTGACTTATGCCCGTTCCACTCCCGAGCAAAATGCCGTTTCATTTTTAAAACTACAAACAAGCTACTCCTCGTTTTGTTTTGGGAGTCCACGCTATAAGTATAAACGTAAAGGAAGATGTTGTCTTATTTTTATTTAAATAACTTCTGCCTCTTGGTCTACTCTGATTTTATCCTTTCAAGTTGTTTTAACTCGTCGAGTACCGGTTTTGTAGACACAATTATAGAACAATAGGTTGCGGTCACCGGTGACCGCTTGGTGTTCGACAGTTTAAAGTTGCACAGGATTTCGGAAGTTTTTATAAGTGTGTTCGAAGCGTCTATTTAAAGAATTGTGTTAGGACCAGGCCTAAAACGTTTGTGTGCCTACGTATCAAAGGTCTTATACCTTTTGATATCAGGTAACCTCAACGGATTTCCACAACACATAAACATCAACAAAAAATGTATCAAAATTCATAAGGAAGTTTGCAACAGAAATCTTTACAAATGTCAAGCCGAACGATCACGGATCCACCGAGGCGTGGCCGCTAAGCGTCCGCAAAATAACTGTGCAACTTAAAAAGATCAAAAGCAAACAATAATTGTGTACCAACAATGGCACCCTTAAAATCCGTCGGAATGAACCGCAAATAAAACCAAGTTATTAAGTAAGGCCTATCGTCGACCAGGAACCATTTTATACGTACTTTTATCCAATGTCCATTCTTCTGAAATGCGATTAAAATTGAATAGGTCCATATGTCGCCGGCATCGGGGCCGTTGCGTCACAATCACACGGCCGGCTGCATTTTCAATTTGCCGCGAGATAAGCGCGACTTTTGGATGACTTTTTCTGCGGAATAGCGGAATTGATCCTGTGACTTATGGCGGACGACGTAGAAGACGACGTAATTGGATGGTCAATTGATCTGCTTTCCAATTTAAAAGGACCTTCGCTCCTTACAAAGGGACGGCGGGAATTACGCGCGTGTTTATCTATTCAATGGGCTTTTGAGCTTATTCATTGTTGGGGAGGGTAAATGAAATAAACGTCTAATATCAATATTGATAATTTATTCACAATTTCATTTAAAATACACAACTTCACAATGTTTTGTTTTAAAAACTAAAAACTTTAGGTACGGGATATCGTTATAGGCTGTTTTGCAGTGATCTCTAATTTACATCTTTTTAACCTGATAGTCTTATAATGATTTCATTTATTTTCTACATGTTTCATTTACATTTCATATTTACATATTTTGGGGTACGGGAACGTGTTTGTAGTTCTAACATTGGGTCATTACGAAGTGGCCGTGAGTCAGCGAATGCAGGTAAACTTGATTGCAGCGGAGTGACCCGTGGATTAAATAATAATAATGAACCATTGTATAAAACAAGGTGCACGGAAGAATCGAAACATAGTATTATGACCACCTTGCGCAAATAACTTTCATTTGTTTATGATATTATATCATGGTAAGTATGTTACAACCACACACACAGACCCGCAGTTTAAAATGTATGGCCACTCAATATCCTTAATTTTACACGGTAATGTGATACAAAACTTTATAATACACCTTGTGACAAACAAATTTATTCTTTATACATAAATATTCAATAGCTAATTCGATTTAGTGACCATTTGAATAATTTATTTGACGAAATCATTGTTAATGCGCTAACAAAATCAGTTCTGCGAAATGTCACTATTGAAAACTGCTATTTATTTACAAAATTGCATGTATAAACTATTACATAAATTACTATTGCATTTCATTCAAATAACATCTACACAAATAATAAAATGTACAAAAAAATCTTCGCATTATTCTTCTGAACACATCACAATTCCTATAGCGAAACGAAACGTTCGAATTAAATATAAAAAAAAAAACAATGTACACAGGAACGGAATATAACTTATAGAGATATGTACAAATACACAAAATTATTTCATCTTTATTTGAACTATACTTATACGATAAAGACTTCATAACCGACCTTATCTAATATTATAATACTGTACAATTTCGCTAGTTACTTCATGTAAAACACTCTTAATTTAATACTTGTAGGAAACTGATCGTGGTATATCAAAGTCTTTCATTGGGGAACGATAAACTGGGACAAATTTACTTGTGTTCAAAATCAGGATATGTTCAGTTCAATTCAAACTGTGAGGCGGAGTGTTGGTGCGAGCGACGAGCGGGCGACGGTTTCGTCTAGGGAGCCTCAAGGATTGATCGCTGCTTTATAGCCTCGTTAATCACAGCGTGGCCGTCGCTTCCCGCTCTCACTGCCACCTCAGCCTAGTTTGTATAGATGTAAACGTCAATTCTGTTCAACAGTCTTATTTATTGATTGATGTGTCGAATTTATCTCTGAGTGGAGTGTCCACTCTACGAGATCAGGGCGTAAGCGCTGATTCGTTTGTAAGGTCATAATGTCCGTCCAATGGGACAGGACTCTTGTTTACGAAAGACATTATTTTATTAACTGCATTCTCCTGTGTTTGGTTGACTTATCACGTGTACTCACTCCTCCAGCCAGTCTGTAAAGAAGAAGGTAATGTTAATTGTGATGTTCGATCGACGTTTTTATTGGATAAATCTACATATTGGACTGCCTCGGTGGCCTAGTTGCTAGTGGGACTGCCGGGGCAAGGGGTCTCGGGTTCTTCCCGGGTCGGGCAAAGTATTATAGGGTTAATAAAAAATCTCATTAGTACCACGGAGTCTGGAATTGTACAGTATATGGCAATAGACTCACCCCCTACTACATGGGACTCATAACATAAATAGTGAAAAGTGGGTGTTACATTGTACAGTGGCGTAATGTGCACATCTGCCTACCCCTTCGGGGATAAAAGGCGTGCTGTTATGTTATATTTAGTCAAACATATCAATTCATATTAGCAATTATAATTATGACTCCGTCTTGCTACATATTTCTCACAATTCTCAAATTTTAATATAATTTCTGTCCATATTCATGTATTTATTTATGTACACAATATTTAGATATGTGTAAAGATAAGACAAATTAATCTTCTAATGTCTACCGACGGTATAAACCTAGGAATAAGATGTGACTAACAACAATGATAATTTATTAAATGAGATCGCATTTCAATACAATATGAAATTGCATAATATAAAGATTACCATGTTTACGAGGTTATTTCCAATAAATATTCATAGCTACCAAAATTCTTTAAACAAAATGGTCATATCTAACACAAATTGTTCACCAATAATATTGCAATTTTGTGTAAAAAATACGTTAAAAAGATAATTTAAACTCTGATAGCAGATCTTAACGTACATTTTAATATAAATTTATTGATTAAATTTAAGTAATACTGGTATGGTCCGGATAAACATTTCATTAAAGTCGTCACAATATTATTAGTGCAAGCTATGTATGTAAATTCAAATATTGTTGTAACCTTCACAGTTTTGCTGAGAAAATTTGAACTCTAACTAGTTTGTATATAATATATATTCATACGTAATTTGCAAGATAATAAATACCTACTCGAGTTTTATTGGATGAAATATTAATGATTTTTTTTTAGGCTCCATGCGTTACTCGTGTAGGTTTGTAATTTCAAAATTTTTCCTTATTCTAGAATACACGAGTAGCCTCTATATCACGTGTCTAGTCAGAATTTCAATTCTTATTACTAACAAACGGAATATGAGACTATTCCTTAATATATCAAAGACCTCGCTTTGGTACTTACTCTAATATGAATAACGTTCTAAATCGTTTTTTTTTTAATTCTCTTATATTTGGTAAGGGGTTTTTATCCACATGGATATGTCAACCCCATTGTAACTTATACTCTATTTTCATAAAATTAATTATTAAACACCTATTATTAACACTTTTCGTACTTAACTATGCTTTTGCCTATACGAAGGGGAATTATTGCCTAGAACTCTTTATTAGGGTAGAAATAATGCATTTAGACATGTTTGATTTAGAGTGAGCTAAAATATTTTGCATTCTAAATCGTTTATAATTCAATTATTCGTTTAAGATGAACTCTAATTACTACCAAAAATCACAGTAGGTTCTCTTTCCATACCACAATGAAAGGACGTACCTACGTATCTATAAGACCCAGGGAACGTAGTAAAGTCACTAATATTAGAGATACGCAAACCGATATAGAAAAAAAATTGTTATCTGATTATACGTACCATTGAATTGAGCTGCGCGAGGTGATGGTGATGGTAGGGGTTGTGTGACGCTGGTGGAGGAGCGAAGCCCTGATGTGGTGCTCCGTACCAGTGGGACATGTGTGCCGCTGCGGGGTGGACGAGACCAACTTGGTGCTGACCTGGAGGACAAAAGAAGTGAAATTGTAGTACAAGTAATTTAGTTATAGGCTAAAAATGCAAGTCATAAAATGATGGTGAAAACGGTTAATTTAGATACTCATTTTCAAAGACTATAATAAGCATTTTAGAATCCGTCAATCAGTCTATTTGAGTCAAACTTATTGACCATTAAATTTCTTCAATCGAAAATACACTACTAGACTTATATCTGCTTCATTTAAAGGTATATCTAATTAAACCAGACACTATCCTACAACTTTCAACATAAGGACAACGAACATTAATATAACTAAAGTAACTCCCGATTTCTTCGCACTGTTTAAGTAGCAATTTAAATATCCACGTATACTGTCTGAAGTATTTATTCAGAGATTACAAGTAATGCTGGGGAAACCAGTCTCTTAGTTAGAAACTATTCATCTCCACTGCACGCTCAGATAACGCGCTGATACAGTTAATATTTCCCCTTCATTAACTCATTACTTTAAAGTCTTAATTAAGTTAAACTCGAGGTTTTTATTTTACCGAGAAGTACTTTAAATTGCAACAAATGAGCAGTTTACAAAAGTAATTAAATCGTTCCGTTTCGATTTTTTACTATTTTTAATTATATGATAACGTTCACTTACTGTTTATGAACATCTACATATTTAGATATAGTAATTCTACTTGCATTTTTATTACGTAATATTTTTGTAAAATAAATATGACTTTATTGTATTTTTAAAGATACAGCGTTTTACTTGGAACTTCAGAATTAGTACCTAAAGTTTTGTAATATTTTTTGACACGTAACATATTGTCACTGATTTTCTAAAAAGATTATGTTATCAAGTGACGATAGATATTAAGTAAAAATTAATTGGTCCACTAATCTAGCAAGTCATGCAAATTGTAACATTTCAAACAAGTAATTAATTGGATAGACAAATATAGAAAGATAATCATCACGATTTTAATAACTTCATAAATAACAACGGTAATCGAAAACTAGATTTCATTTAAAAAAAACTATACTTTATTGCAAAAAGGCCATAAAACTGCGTGATTATTGTGTATTTTTTTAAATTCCTTCTCAGACAATAAAACAATAATTTTAATTTGGATCGTTAAAAATTAATCATAAATATGTATGAGATGTGTCAAAAATAAACTCATTAATACAAAAATATGTACTTTTGGCTAATAAATCAATAGTTTGTTATATCAGTGTTCAATTTTTATAGTTATTTTGACATCATTTAATGTTACCTTGCATTAACAACTGTTCCTTGCAATATTTAAATCAATACAAACACCCTTTTTGACGTATATTGCACGATTATGACGCGTTTAATTTAATTTAAATCCACCTTTAAAATCTAAAATCGATTTAACAATACATTTTTAAGAACTGGTCAAGGACTAAAACCTAAGTTGAAAGTTAAAGTTGAAGAGAAAGTGTCTATATTTTGAAACTAATTACATACTTTACGCCTGTTTCCCAGAGACTATGGAACACCAATTACTACGATTCTTATATACCTCTTTCGCTTCATCAACCGTCATCAATCTTTACATGAATGCTCGTCGGTTAAGGGTACTTTTAATTAATTACGTACCTACAAAATTTAGAATCAATACAAGTTTTTCTTAAACTTCCTTCCTTTTCTCAGTTAGTTATTGAAGTAGGTTGTTCAGACTGTCAGTATAGAACAACTGCTCTTCTCAACCCACTAAGAGTATTACACTAAGATTCTTTTGATTTCATATAACTATCACACATGGTCGAATAACATGTTTTCTTAAACACTATATAATAATTAAGATTCTTACCAAAGTCCATGGCTGATGGGAAGGCGGAGCCGCCGAAACCCTTGGTTCCATCTCCTAGGGGCTTGATCATGTCTCCCATGACTCCTCCGAGGGCTAATGCACAAGCTCCTCCCCCTCCCATGCCCATTCCACCCTTCTTCTTCTTACTCTTACTACTCAATTTGCGATTTCTCGTTTGGATCCCCTCTTTCTTCATCGTAAGGGGCCGGTTTACCTGTTGACAAAGAATTTTCGAGTTTAGTGTTATGGGTACAAAGGTATTATCGGGTAGTTTTCTGAAATGACTAAAATCCATTTATTGAAATTTGAATTCAGTTCACTGATGAAGGTATCAAAACTGTAAAGTTTGCTTATTATTCAGCTTCAAGCAAGCCATGTTTGAAGTTCAGACTTATAAGACTTGAATACGAATATCGTTAATCATAGCAGCGCGAGATTTGCCCCGAGCAATAGTAATAAGATACATCACAAGGAAAAACATTATCATAATAGCTAAACAAAAGACGCACGCCAACTCTCATTGTCCTGAATGAGAATGACATTATGACGTGAAGTACCATCTACATAAATAAAACAAAGCAACCAGGATTTACTTGAACAAGCAAATCACGTATCGACCAAATTATTCACTCTGAATATAATATTTCGCTTAATTGACCCGTCGCAATATTCTGGACGAAGCTAATAAGTCGTAATTGTCCCTTGTTGAATCACACAATTTTGTTAACCGTCAGTATTCCATTTTATTGCTCTGACACGACATTTAGCGGTATGAAAAAACGTCTGCGGTACCAATTTAGAATGCTAACTACGGAGTATAAAGGCAGGCCGAAACCATAAAATGGTATCACAATAGTTGTGTGCGAATATTCAGCTGTTTGGTGTCCGATGCCGCCGCCGTCGGCGTCACACTGTGCATCCTAATTAGTGCAGCGATGCACTGTGCCTGGTTTCGTGTCCGTTTGGTGGGAAACTGCAGTGACGCGCGATTTGAGGTTAAGGTCCTCACTCTATATGGCACGTAAATTTCCTGTACTATGAACATGGAGATGGGCTACGAGTGACCTGACAGATCCGCGATTCTAAGAGTTTCATTCCATGCGATCAAGGGATAACCAACAAGGAGAATGTTTGTTTACATGCACAGAATATAAGGGACGACATCTCTGTCTTTTACATGATTACGTAAAGATAAAGTTCGCGAGCGTGCTCTGTACATCAGATAAGCTCTTATACATTTCCATAATTGTGCAATTTCTCTGCCAAATTCTCGGGTCAACTATGTCGGTCACTTCTGCTTTGCATCGTGTTGTTTCTTAGAACCGTGCGTCACGACGGACGGACGGATGGACAATGAGTTATTCATCGCCTTCCATGGAACTTGGCGGCGGCATGTGGGCCCTAAACGCACGATTGCATTGCGCCTGCGCGAACGCAGCCCATGCGCATGACCTGCCCTTGTTTGTGTTTGTTTTTGGTGATGTGCAATTTGAGTTTAGTTGTCTCGTTATGATTTATTGCTGAATTATTTTACATTGTATGTGGGTGTCGGTTTAATGTCGCCCATTAAGTCAAATAACAATTACCTTGCCTAGAGTTCTGTTTTGATTTGATTTAGCTTAACACGGCTAGATGTATTTTGCGTATAGTAGAACATCGAACAATTAACAGTAAAGGCAGTACAAAGTGCAATTTCTCCAGACGGACAGTGATAAAGCTTCATTAATCTGTTGGTAAAGTACTGCGTAGTTCAGTGCGTGCCAGATCCCGGCGTCCCTAATGCGTTCCCGCGAATCGCCCACACATCGCGCATACCGCGCCGTCGCGCGTCTCTCCTCTCAATTGAACCAATATAAAATGCATTAACATCACTGCATGCCGGCAGATTTAGACTGCAACCAAATTAGGTCATTGCGAAGCCTTTGCTGGCAATATTTTTTCTTAATTGCCCACTGGAGCGCGCACCCGTAAAACGGTCTGGTAGCTTTTATTTTTCCGTATCAATTATTGCAAATTAGTTCCTTGTTAGAAAGTACGTGCCCGTTTTTATTGCTCATAATAAAACTGTGTATTAGAAAACTAGAAAAATAATATACGAGTGAGATGCAAACGCGAATACCTATGAAGACAAGAAGTTAGTAATAATTCCTTCACAATCTAGTTTTAATGATTATACCTACTACCGTAATATATGGACGAATAAATATAAAATGCCAAGCTATGTGTAATATGATACTCGAATTAATTTAGTTTCAGGAGTATATTTATTGTGTATTTAATGTTGCACGTGGAGGTTTATATACTTAATATATGGAAGCCTTATATGATCGTTGCTGGTATTGGAAGTAGTCGGGTAACCGACAAGACGTCTTGATGGCGCAGAAATTGCTTAATAACTGGCCATTATGCCTAGTTAATTACATCTGCTGTTCCCACTACTGTTAGACATATGGATGTTATGTATGCTGTTCGTATATTCGCACTATATATGGAAATAACTAAGTGTATGTGCTAATCATAGCTTTACTACGTGAATGCAAATGTTCTTTCTTATAGACAATCGCGATTTTGTATGTTGCTAATTCAATTCTATGATCGTGATCTAATTGTAATAAAATACTTTCCACCGATGATGTTGAAAACATAATGTCACTCAGAAATGATTGAAGCACCAAAATGTAAGTGTGTTATTTATGCGTGCGTATGTAATGGGGTACCATATTACCAGATTTAGGAAAATGACAGATGTCCTTCGTGCCAATGTGTGTATGTTCTGCATGTAAGTCTATAGTAACCAGGTAACCCAGTAATTGTTACAAAATACTATGTCCGACGTTTTTTCAACGTCCTTGCTTTCGACAATGGTTACAGAGCTATTATCCGATTATCTCCTTTAAATTATATTATAAGAGATCCTACAAAAAGGTTATACTACTACACATTTCCTCATTCAATTTTTGCGTCCCATATTCCTTCGTTACTTAGTATGCGCTTTACGTTATCTGCGTCAAGTTTCCACGGACTCATAATTATGGTCAGAAAATACAACGGCCATACAGCTATGAATCTGACCGAACATGGACTTAGCATGCAACGGCTACGGTACGGCCACAAGACGTAACGATATCAAATGCGGCCCTAGATTTTGTTAATGTAGGTTGGTGGAACTTTTTCTAGTGTAAATGTTTGCTTTTTCGGACAAATAATGAAATATTAGGTAACACAAATTGAAGAATTTCGAAAACTATTCTGAAGGTACTATACATACTTTTAACAAATCAACAAAGGCTTTGATTTTGATGAGAATAACACCCATCTAATATTGGATTAACGTAGAAAGTATTAATCCGCATGCTACTTTAACCAATTAAAGCAAATCACATCCATAAGTAAAAATGTAAACCATTTCTCCCACACCAAAACATCTTTACCAATACCATAACAGCCCAAACAAAATACTTTAAAAAGGTCTTACTCCAAAATTAATTTAGAATTACAAGAAAACCTAGTCCGGAGCCATGTTTAAAACAGTTCAAAGCAATATACAAATATACGAGGTTATGGTAGCGTGCACTATACTCATTACGTTTGGTCTTAGTACCTATGCGCTCATACTTGTAAATTGTACCAAACATACATAGCAACTACTAACATGAATTTGATTTGTAGAAATCAAAATGGTGTATGGCGAATGTTGATTGTTGATTATGATTGTGAAACATAAAATACCTAATACTAAACACAACGTAATTCTCAAAGGGTTGACATAAGGTTAAGTGAGAGAATTGAGAAAATTTTCCATAGTTTAGTTACCTATTGATAAACACCTATGTGAACAGAACACCCCTTCAATAATGAATTGTTTTTGTTTTAACCACGACGGTGGCAAAAAACTCACTCGACCCACCTGATGGTTAGCTCGGTTACCGTGGCCTACGCTTTCAAGACTTGGAACATTACATGCGCCTTGCCGACCCTTGAAAAACCTATTTTTTTGAAGAATCCCATGTTATAGCCTAGTAGGAAACCACGGCAAGGAGTTCATTTCACAATAATTAATGGGAAAAAAACTTCTTTTTCATTGAGCAAACCACCGTAATAATAAGAATCTGAATTTATTTTACCATTTGGCAATAGCTAAGGTATGTTGAGTGGATACCTAATTAATTAACGATTATTGGGTAGGTATACCTTTGTCTATATTTTCTAAAATTGTACACAATACCTCATGGCACAAATACACGAATTCTATATAACTAATCACAAAACAAATATGGAGTATCCAACTAGTAATTTCGATTTTAAAATTGCACTTTTGTCATTTGATGGGGTTTCGTGCTGTGCAATTCAGGGTTAGTAAAACAGGTACGGTTAGCATGCAGCACATGCATCTAGTTGTCAATGTAATATCAACTGAACACGCCATGTTGAATAAACTATGGATTGTACATAACTACGTACATATTTACTAAAGTTTCATGAGTGCCAATTCAAACAGAGTTTGTAAACTGCTTACCAAGAAGGGTCGAAGTATATTTGTTCAGTATAAATATGTTAGGTATGTTATAAGCAAACGAAATATAAGTAAAATGAGGGAAGGATATCGACACTCCTTTATTACGTCTTCTATTCTTTTACAAATTCACGGGCACCGCCACGCACATAGATAAATCTATCACCATAGACTATACTATGACCATAGAGTATACCACAGATACACAACAAAATATAATACAGATTAAGTCTGTACAGACACAATGTGATGTACTACCATAATATTACCTACCATCCAACATTGCCGTAACATTGACGAAATAAGTAATATTTGTATTTGTCTACCAGGTGTGATCCAAAATCTATCGTATTTTTATAAAAAATATTATAATTCAAAAGCTTACCTAAACGGAACCAGGACTTCATGCCCAATTGCATTCGCGATTTCTCGTCTAACGAAGCTGCCAGTCGTAAACAGAATATTTATGTCGATTTCTTTCACACTCATTTTTATAACTTAACTGCACTCATTATATTTAGAAAACGATTTCAGTATTGAATAATTACTCCTCATAAATCTATATACGACACTACTGTGCCTCTACCGCATAACATGCACTAATTTGCGCAATGAAACTGTAACAATATCCCGTTTTTGTCGTACTGCACGCTTTACATTAACTGCTAACATCGAATGTGGTGTGGAACACTGCAAAAAAT